AATAATCTCTATTGGTATAGTAGTGGCACTTTTATCTTGTGGGTAATCAACAGCTAACTGGACTTAAAGTCTGCTCAATGGGAGGGAACTCATGTGTGGTACTATAAACATAGCCAAATACACGTGCCCAGAGAAAAATCTACTTTTGTCACACCCCTCAACCAACGTAATTCCTTACTGTACTCTAAATATGTGCCCTTATATTTACAAACAAGTGTACTCTCACCACTCATCAAAGAAGTTTCTTTTTGTTACAGATGGAAACTATTACAAAGCTCCATAACTGATCAAATGTACAGAATAAGTGTCCATGAGGTACCCGGCCCTAAGTGACACAACTATACAATGCAACCTCTACACCTAAGATTTAGGGAACAAAGTGGAACAGGGAGCAGAATGAATGTTAATGCATCTCTCAACTCTTACCAGTGAATCTTCCTCATGCAACAGATGGTGATTAACCCAGAAAGCCACAACTGGTCAAAGTACAGAGAGCAAGAGACTGTAGAGTATTTATTGCTGAATAGGACATCTATATCAAACGTCTGCCACCCAAGGTTTGGGGACCATTGAGAAAGAGGAGGCAGAAATATTGTAGGAGCCAGAAAAGGTTGATGACCACAAGAAAACAGAGTTTTCCTCAGAGCTGGGAACTTGCTCATATGAATTTACAGCAATAGTAACAAGATGCACAAGACCCATGCAAACTCAAACCAGACAAAAACCCTGTATACAAGAAGGGAAGTGGATAAGAAGCCCCAACCTTAGCTAAGGAACTATAGGTAACCAATAACTACTGGGAAGGGAGAGTTGGTTTTCTTTAAGGGTGTGATTTTAGATTGGTTACACAAGCTCCAGTTGGATGGATGCACATAGGAGGACATTTAGGGACAAACGTGGCTGGATAAGCCTTAACACATGTTACATGAAATCTGGTAGGGGGCTATAAGAGGAGTGAGGATAGGGGAGATGATCAAAATATACTGTATGAAATTCACAAAAATTCAATAAAAAGGGAAAAAACGCCCCCCCCCTTTTAAAGCATTTTATAGTTTTAGGGTTTTCTCAGCATGAACTATACATGAGTTAAAAAAGCACAACATTATTAAGATTTAAAAATACTATGCTAGTTTTGAAAGTTTCAGGTCCTCTCCACTTTAGAAATGGTAGTGTTAAAAATACTGTATTTCCTTAAAGTAAAAATTGCTGACAAGAAGGAAAACGGCATATGGCTGAGGGGATCTTCCAAAGAATCTACTCCACCCAGCCATCTCCTGTTCTTTTCTCTGCCTTTTAAGGTCACAGTAACATGACAGAAAATCTGGGACTCACACCATCTGTCCAGACAGTTCCATCACTGCTCATTTCTCTTGTTAGTCAGAGCGCTTCGCACTTCCCAAACACTGCGACTCTAAAGAACAGCTGAAGCAGAGTGAAAGCTTCCTCCATGCAGAAATGGAGTGTTGGAAACACATACTTCTTTTGAGGTTTGTGGTTTTCAGATCACATCAGTGGAAAGAAAAACTTACCCCTTAATAGGAAATTTAAGAACAAAAGGTGACACTCTTAAATAAGTTCTCTATAAACAGATGTAGCAAGTTCAAAATGAGCTAATTGCACAGGCACGTAATCTGTAAACTTCTGAGAAAGAGGAGGACTAGCTTTCTTCACCATTACTGTAACACCAGCTAACAGTACTCAGGACATCTTGACACTGTCCAAGCCTTTCTTATGTATTAACTCTTAATCTTTAAAACAAGCCTATGGTAATTGTGCTGGATAGCTTTAGTGTCAACTTGACACACCTGGGTTGAGGGAGCCTCAATCGGGGAATTGCCTCTATTGGACTGGCCTGTGGCCATGTCTGAGGAGCATCTTCTTGATGAGTGATGTGGGAGGGCCCAGCCCACTGTGGGTGGTGCCACCCCTGGGCAGGTGGGCCTGTGTTGCATAAGAAAGCAGGCTGAGCAGGGGCCAGGGGAGCAAGCCAGTAAGCAGTGTTC